TTCCTATTCCGCCATCTTGCCTCCTGCACTCTGGATTTAAAATTTTTGCTTCAAAATTAGTTAGTCTTAATGTTATATATATAAATATATATTTAAGATTTATTTATTTACTTTAAAGGCAGAGTTACAGAGAGAGAGAGAGGGAGAGAGAGACAGAAAGTGAGATGGAGAGGGGAAAGGAAGAGGGAGGGAGGGAGGGAGGAGGGAGGGAAAGGGAGGGAGTGGGAGGGAGCGAGGGAGGGAGGGAGGGAGAGAGAGAGAGAGAGATCTTCCATCTGCTGGTTTACTTCCTAAATGTCTGCAACAGCCAGAGCTGAGAAGATCAAAACCCAGGAGCCAGGAGCTTCTTCCAGGTCTGCCACGTGGGTACAGGGGCCTAAGGACTTCAGCAGTCTTCTGTTGCATTCCCAGGTGCATTAGCAGGGAGCTGAATTGGAAGTGGAGCAGGTAGGACTCAAATAGGCACCCATGTGGGATGCTGGCACTGCAGGCAGCTGCTTTACCTGCTATACCACAGTGCTGGCCCCATAATATATATATATTATGAATCATTATATATTATATATTATTATATATGTTGTATATATTTATAATGTATATTATATATAATATATATAATGTTTATCAGAAAGAGAGTTAGATAAAGGGAGAGAAAGAAAGAAAGAGACATAATAAGATCTGTTGATTTACCTTTGAAGCATTTATAACGTCTGGAGTGGGACTAGACTGAAACCAGGAGCCAGGAACTCAATCTGGGTCTTCTACATGGGTTATAGGGACTCAAGAATATGAGCCATCCCCTGCTACCTCTCAGGGTACATATTAACAGGAAGTTGGAATCAGAAATGGAATGGAAGAGCCGGGGCTCAAACCAGGCACCCCTATACTGGATGCAAGTGTCCCAAGCAGTGACTTAACTGCTGCACCAAATGTCTGCCCTGTCTCCTTTTTAGATTATTCTGTGTTTTCTTATAGAAAGAAAGGAGTAAGCTCAGGCACAGATGATTTCTTTAAAGACAAATTCAAAAGAATTTTAGGCATTATTTTTCCAAAGCCAGTTGCACATGATTGGCAGTGACCTCTGGCTCAGAGTAACTGCTGGCCTCCTTGCCTTTGATAACCAGAGAGCAAGTCTATCTACAGCAAGGCTGCAGTCACAAAAGCTCACCTGTGGGGATGGAATCGGGTGAGTCTGCTTCCCCTGTGTGTCTCTTAATTGGTCAGTGATCCTAAACATGAAGCAGTTTTGTCAGATGTTGAGAAACAAAGAATTGTAAAGCTTATCCTTGACCTGGTCAGGGAAACTTTTCAAGGAGATATAAAGTTTGCAATGAAGGGAAATAGACTCATGCTTTACTGCACTCTTGCGGAGAGCAGATTGTGTCTCCCATGGCTTCTAAGGGCCTGGGTAGGTTACTGTTTTCTTCTCGTAGCATGACAATTGTATTGGATGTTGACACCACAGAAAGGTGCCTGTCTATAAAACGGGCATCTGTTTTTACAATCCCTGGTCAAAAGTTGAGAATAAATCTACAGGGAGAGGCAAAGTCTATGTTTCTTGAAGTGACATCTCTTGGTGTATGCAAGAATTGCCAGACTTATTGTGGGGTTGTTTTGAAAGATGCAGAAGCAACTTTCATTGAATTTTACTGTCTCACCCTAATTGCTGCACTGAGTAGTTTATACATTCTGTGGTCTTTGTTCCTGGTCTGCACCATTGATTGTATGTTTGATCAATATGCAGTTGGAAAACATTGGTTTACCCAATTCTCTAGCCATTTGTTATGTTGCTGCTGGTGGGGCTGTTGTTGGTGATGTTTTTGGGAGTGGATGCATGTGTATATGTGTGCAAAGTGGGGGTGGGGTAGAGAGAGGAATTGAGAGACTGAGATTGGTTTTAGCTTAATAATTGGGGGTGCAACGTGTAGTGTGTGGTCAATAATAAAACTGACTGCAGCCTACAAAAGCAATCCTTTTATGAGGCTCTAGTAGTCTTCCCCACAGGAAGGACTACAGTCAGGTGAGGAGCAGAGTTTAGACACAAGACCAGTGTTGCAGTCCCAGGTCTACCTCCTACCAGTGCTGTAGTTTTGGGCAAGTCTTCGATTACTATGGGACCTCAGATTTCCCTTCTCTAAATGTGAAGGTTGAATCAGATGATTTCAAAAGAGCTTTCTTGCTGGGGCTTTCTGACTAATTGTTATGACCCATAGCAGCAAATTTATAGTCTGTGCTTATTTAGCTGTAGTGGGTGGTTTCCATGAAGATGAGAACATCTGAATAAACAGTGGCTCATTTGAGGAACAGGGATCGAAACCCCCAGGAGCTCCAGGGCTGTTGCTATGAGGGTATCCCATATATCTGAGTACAATTAAAATAAATAAATTGACTCCCCAGAATAAATTCCTACTGTAACCTTCTAAACTAGTTTCCTCCTGATTATAATAGTAAAAAATACCTATTGTGGAAGTTACAAAAATGAAAAAGAAGAGTCACAATTCACCCTGATTTCACCAAATAGAGTATTTCACAGCAATAGATATGCCCTTTTCAGTCTTTTTTTGGGCACATATTTTGAATACCAAGATACACTTCTTTATATGTTTAAAATCTCAAGAATTGTTTTCATTTAATGATATAGCAAGGATAGGCATTTAGCCTAGTGATTAAGATACTGGTTGAGACATCTGTGTCCCACATCAGTGAGCCTGGGTTCAACAACCTGCTCTTGCTCCTGACTTGTTTTCTGTTGATGCAGACTCTGGGAGGCAGAGGGATGGCTTCAGTGGTTGGATTCCTGCCACCTACTTGGGGATTAGTTACAGACTGCCAGCTTTGGACTGGCGCAGCCCTGGCCAAGCCCCAGCTATTGTAGGCATTTGAAAAGTACAAGTGGATATTCTCTCTTTCACTCTCCTTTCTCAAATAAGTTTTTGAAAAAGCAGTATAGAAAAAGTATTTTCCCATGTCACTAAAGATACCTCTTTACAAAACGAATTATATGCATCAAAAGGAATATTATTCACCTATATAAAGGAAGTTTGAATTATGCTATTGCATTGATGAACTGTGGATATATTATGCATAACTATTATGTGATACCACCTATGAAATATTTAGAACTGGCGAATTCTTTGACAATAGTTGGGGGGGGGGATTGAGAAGAAGAGTTCTTATTTATTGGGAACAGTGTTTCTGTTTTGGTAATGGAAAAGTTTTGGAATAGATCATGGTGATGTTTATATAATATTGTGAATTTAAAAAGCCACTGAATTGTAGTCTCAAAAATGTTTCAACTTTAAAAAGTTTATTTTTATATATGAATAAAATCATAATAAGAACAATTAACCAAGCAAAAGCTCTTCATGAGCAGCATCCTAGTGTCTCTAGGAAATCCATCCTAAGATTGGTAATATTTAGTACCTGACTGTGGTTGAGCATGTAATATGCTGCGTGCTGTGCTCGGTGCTGTGCTTGTTGATGCTGACGTCATCCTATGGCATAGGTAATATTATTCCCAGTTTTTCAGAGAAAGATGAAGCTCAGCGAGGTTAAATAATTTACTTGCCTTTGGTTGTCAGGTGGCAGAGCTGCAATTTGAATCCAGGCCTTTCTTATCTATGTTGTCCACTTCTGTATTATATTTCCCAATTTTTCTATCACCTGACAATTTTCTTATTATTTCCTATAAATAATAATATATGAAACTCATTGACATAACTTTTTATTCACTTTGCATTTAATCTTTTTAAAAATATATTTATTTGAAAAGCAGAGTTACAGAGAGAGAAGAGAGAGAGGGAGAGAGAGAATCTTTCATCCACTGGTTCACCCCCCTAATGACTACAACGGCAGAGCTGAGTGGATCCAAAGCCAGGAGCCAGGAGATTCTTCTGGGTCTCCTATGTGGGTACAAGGGTCAAGCACTTGGGCCATTCTCTGCTGCTTTCCCAGACACCATAGCAGAGAGATGGATTGGATGTGGAATAGCCAGGACCCAAACCAGCGCCCATATGGGATGCTGGTGCTGCAGGCCTGGGCTTTAGCACTCTGTGCCACACTGCCAGCCTCACACTAATTTAATATTAATGCATGATGAAAATACTCAGTGAGTTTGAATTTATTTTCTCATATTTACAAAAATAGTTAACATATCTGCTCTTGCCAATATATTTCTAAGAAGTCCTGCAAACCTCTCTGATTTTCCTACAAAGCCCATTAGGTTACTAAATACATGAGGGGAAAAAGATTTAGTTATTACTTAAAATACAATGTGTGGTTCTTGGTAAAACTGGGGAAGTAAAAGAATCATATGTGACTTTTTTTTTTTTTTTTTGACAGGCAGAGTAGATAGTGAGAGAGAGAGACAGAGAGAAAGGTCTTCCTTTTGCCGTTGGTTCACCCTCCAATGGCCGCCACGGCCGGTGCGTTGTGGCCGGCGCACTGCACTGATCCGATGGCAGGAGCCAGGTGCTTCTCCTGGTCTCCCATGGGGTGCAGGGCCCAAGCACTTGGGCCATCCTCCACTGCATTCCCGGGCCACAGCAGAGAGCTGGCCTGGAAGAGGGGCAACCGGGACAGAATCCGGCGCCCCGACCGGGACTAGAACCCGGTGTGCCGGTGCCGCTAGGCGGAGGATTAGCCTATTGAGCCACGGCGCAGACATATGTGACTTTTTAAATAATTAAATAAAAATTTGCAAGTGAAGAATAAAATCCAGCAATCGAGTTAGTAATGTTTTATGAAAAATAAGATTGAGACATAGAAACTCTCTCTCTTGTCTCTACCTCCCTATGTAACTGTCATTCAAATAAATAAAAATATAGATCTTTAAAAATATTAAAGTAGTGTGATGCTTATTTCTTCAGAATCAGTAACACTATTGCTTAAAAGTGTTTGCTTAATATTGGTGCTTTAAAGTTTGCCTTTTAATGTGGAAATAGTGGTAAATATCACTGTTCTTTGTTTTTGGTCATCAATCTCACCTTTTCTTTGGTTAGGTCTTCCTCTGTTGGTTCAAAGAACAATTGCGAGGACAATTGTACTTCAGGAAATTGTGGGAAAAGGTAGATTTGGTGAGGTGTGGCATGGAAGATGGTGCGGGGAGGATGTGGCCGTCAAGATATTCTCCTCCAGGGATGAAAGATCTTGGTTTCGTGAGGCAGAAATTTACCAGACTGTTATGCTGCGACATGAAAACATCCTTGGCTTCATCGCTGCTGACAACAAAGGTATTTCCAAACTGATTGGGCTCAACAAGTAGGAGTGTTTTTTTTTTTTTCTTTTCAGATGAGAGTAAGTAATCTCTTGATTTTAATATAATTTCTATCATTGTCTAAGTTATTGAGGCATCCTCTTTTCCATAGGTAATTGTACATCACCATTCAATGAATCAGGGCAAGTGGGTGATATGAACTCATGATGATGCAATTGCTAGGATGATGCTTAAAATATTTGATGACTGGTATGGGGCAGGAACCAACCAGGCAGACCAGAACTCTAGAGTGGAGCTGAGTCTTGCAGAATGTGCTGTGCTGGGTTTCACCTCTTTAGTTGCTGCTGAGTCCTGGATTGCTCCGGAGGCTTCTTGGCGGTGGGGATGTTTGGGAGTCTCAGGTCAATGATCTCTTGTGTCACCTTCATCTTCTTGACTTTCTTCATCTGTTATGAGATTTACAGTTTCAATTTTTAGTGAAAAATGCCTCATACACTGATACGAAAGAGCAGGTGTAGCTACTGGCGTCACTCATTGAGAGACTGTGAATAAGGGTGAGTTTTATATGTGGTCAGTTCATTAGTGAGACTTATCATTTTATAATGACTTGTATATTAGGAAATTTTATCATTGCTTAGATTTGAAAATTAAATATTTGGATAACAAAGTGTTTTTGTATAAAGGAATTTGTTGGGAAGAGTTCTCAGCAAGTATTTAATATTTCCTTTTGCTGAGTGCCTGAACTGGTCAGGCCTGTCCAGTGTTATTATAGACACTTGATTACAAAAGCTAAAGCTAACTCTAGTGACTATAATACCTAGAGAAGTATTGGGTTAATTTTTTTCATGCTGGATGTCTTTTTCATAAACCCATTAGCTTTTTGTTAAATGAGATAAATTGTTTGATAATGTCTAGTAATTGTGTTTGGATCTTTATTTTTAAAGAGTTATTTATTTTGTTTGAAAGGCAGAGTTATGGAGAGGGAGAGGGAGAGGCAGAGAGAGAGAGAGAGAGAGAGAGAGAGAGAGAGAGATTTTCCATTCACTGGTTCACTCCCCAAATGGCCAGGAGCCAGGAGCTGCTTCCAGGTCTTCCAGATGGGTGCATGGGAACAAGGTCTTGGACCATATTCCACTGCATTCCCAGGCACATTAGCAGGGATCTGGATCAGAAGGGTAGCACCTGGAACTCAAACCGGCACCTCTATGGGATGCTGGTGCTGCAGGGGGCAGCTTAACCTGCTACACCACAGCACTGGCCCCATGTTTAGCTCTTAATATCAGCTTTTGGGGGAAATCATCAACTTCATATTTTGAAAATTGAATAGCATGAACATTCTTAAAATGTTAGAACTTTTTTGATAATAATAATAATTTGTATAAATTTGTTGTGTTTTGATTTTTATTGGTACATTATTATTTAAAAGCTCAGAGTAATTTACAGCACAACACTGAGCCTAAGTGCATCCCTCCAGAGTTTCTCTTGCAGTGTGGTTGATCTTGCCAGCAGGTATTGATTGGAGAGAATAATAAAGAAGTGGTTCAGTTATTATAATCACTGCCTCACAACTTACTATTTTTATGTGAGTAACTGTAACAGATTCTAATGTATCAACATCTTCATTGATTCATTGAGAAATTTTAATTTACTAACTTGGACTATAAGTGTTACTACTGAAGAAATTAACCTCGCTGTGTTAACAATACAGATGAAACACTGGTATTTGTTGAAAGCTTCTGGCTTTCTCTCAACTTTCATTTTTAAAAACAAAATTATGTTTTCCTGCTAGATAATGGAACTTGGACTCAACTTTGGCTTGTATCTGAATATCATGAACAAGGCTCCTTATATGATTATTTGAATAGAAACATAGTGACAGTGGCTGGAATGATAAAACTGGCACTTTCAATAGCTAGTGGTCTGGCTCACCTCCATATGGAGATTGTTGGTACACAAGGTATGTATTTCTTTCATTTTTTTCCTTGAATATGAAGACAGATCACCAGGCTGTATTTTAGTTTTTATAAACAATAATCAAATATTAAGAAAAATTAAAGGTATTTTATAAAACTGAAGGTTTTGTCATAATATAGCACCTTATATATACTCCCCATTTTATGTATTATCCATAATATATTTTTATTAATTTTCACTCATTCTTTGTCATTTAACATATATACCTTGAAGATCTTATTTGGTGTCAAAAGCTTTGTATTGAGAGAATAAAAATAATTTAAGTGCTTATATTTATAATTAAAAATAATTGGAAAGGATAAGGTAACCTTGAAAATATTTTTGTATCATGTACTTGAAGGTCAAATAATACCCACTGTTGTTTCTATTAACAGAGTTGATTTAAGGTAGTCATTAGTCTAGATAGAGCAGTGGTTCTCAAATATTGAGTCATGATTCCTGCACACTCTTTTTTTTTAAATTCTCAATCTTTTAAAAAGATTTGTTTATTTGAAAGTCAGCATTACAGAGAGAGAGGGAGAGGGAGAGGGAGGGGGGAGAGAGAGAGAGAAAGAGAGAGAGAGAGAGAAAGAGAGAGAGAGAATCTTTCATCTATTGGTTCTGCTGCTATTCCCAGGTCATTAGCAGGAAGTTGGATTGAAAGTGTAGCATAATGAACACAAATCAGCACCCATAGGGGATGGTGATGTCATAGGCAGTGGCTTTAGCTGCTACACTTCAACACTGGCCCCATGATCCCTTTACATTCTTAAGAGTTTTTGAGAATTACAAAAGATTTTGTGTATGTGGGTTATATCTATTAACAGTTGTATTATAAATCAAAATGTAGAGATTTTAAAATTATCTGTTAATTTACTTAGAATTAAATCAATTAAATGTTAGCATAAATAACACAGTTTTAAAATGGTATCACTTTTTTTTTTCAATTACAAAAACCTATTTAAAGGGGCTGGCATTATGGTAGAGTGGGTCCAGTATGGGTGCCAGATCAATTCCTGGCTGCTCCGCTTCTGATACAGTTCTCTGCTAGTGCAACTGGGAGGGCAGTGGAAGATGGCCCAAGTGATTGAGCCCCTGCTACCCTCCTGAGAGACCTGGATGAAGTTCTTGGATCCTTGCTTTGGCCTGGCCCAGTCCCAGATGGTGGACCATCTGGGGAATGAACCAGCAGATGGGAGATTTTTTTTTCTTTCTATCTAACTCTGCCCTTCAAATAAAATAAATATTTTTTTAAAAAGCTATCCAGGCAAAATAATGGTTTTATGTTTTTGTATATCTCTTTAATGTCTGGTTTAGTGTCCAGATTTTCATATGTGTTCACTCAGTCTATGCCATTATATTGTTTTGGATGTATTAAGTGAAGAAAAGATGGCATCACATAGATAATAGTTGCAAAATAATACTTAAGATCCCCTACCACATTTGAGAACCACTTATCTAATATAGAAAGAGTTGGAAACTTGTTTTTAAGAATATATTTGCCATAATCTTATATTTACATGGCAATGGAATTCTTTCTCCTTTATTAAAAAATTTACTAGTGCCTACTAAATGTCTACTACTCTTCTAAGCATTGTAGACATGGTGGTGAATAAGAAAGTCACTGCCCTCATTCAACTTATGGTTTAGTTAGGAGAGACGGTTAAACAAGCATTGAACAGACAGATAATTTAGAAAGTGGTAGCAGTTATGAAGGAAGCAAAATGGGGTACTCTGTTGGAGAATGACTTGGAGTACAGAATGAATAATCGTGAAGATTTCACGTTTAAGATAAGTCTTCAAAATAATTCTTCTTAGAAAGACTCAGCATTCAGTAAAGAAGAAAGTGAATGTGTTTTTTATGCTTTCTAGGTAAACCTGCTATTGCTCATAGAGACATAAAATCAAAGAATATCTTAGTGAAAAAATGCGAAACTTGTGCCATAGCAGACTTGGGGTTGGCTGTGAAGCATGATTCAATCCTGAACACTATAGACATTCCTCAGAATCCTAAAGTGGGAACCAAAAGGTAAGATGTTTTCCTTGGGTGGCATACCAGAACTCACTATTGGCCAATAAACCTTGAGGTGTTTGTGGGCTTCCTGGCCCAAATGGGAAATCATTATGCCCAAGAAAGAAAAAAGTCTTCTCAGGATCACTAAGTCCGTAGACTCAATGATTAGATAAACCAGAAGTCTTGACATTTTTGAACATGTGAACATGGGCTATTTGGGTGCATGGTTCAGTGCAGAGAAAAGGTGGAAAGGCAATGAGATATGATTTTAGTGTACTATATTTTGAGGATGCATTTTCCTACACATCAGAATCAGTAGTATATTGCACCTTCAAAGCCTTTATATTTCGTAAATGAACTGAAGTGCAGGGCTAGTTATGAATGTTTAAGTTCTAAACAATTGAGACAGAATATATTGGAGTAGGTAGGTTAGGAACTCTTATAATAAATTCATTTATGTGTTACATTTTATTAATGTTTAGCAATATTACATATATTATCTATAGTTGTATTTATCTTAAAATCTCCCAGATTGATTTATATTAAGATGATAAGAGTTTGGACACAATTCTTACATTCATGGAACAACATCTCTGAAATCAGGGGTAAACATGATGTAAATTGAGCATTCCTCACATGTATCAGGGCAGTGCCATTAGCAGTGGTATCTCTGGTGTTTTTATTGCTCTGTGCACATACTTCTATTTCCTTTTATTTTAGTTTCTGTGATATTTTGGCATAATAATAATAATTAGGGTTCTTGATGTTAAAATGAATAACTAAATATTTTCCTGTGCCAATGTTATGGTGTAGTATATTAAAGCCACTGCTTGCAATGCTGGTATCCAGTATCGGAATGCATGTTTGAGTCCCTGCTGCTCTGCTTCCAATCCAGCTCCCTTCTAGCACACCTGGGAAAGCAGTGAAAGATGACCTTGCCACTCAGATGGGAGACTGGGTGGTATTGCAGGCTCCTCGTGTCTGTCTGGGCCAGCCCTGGCCATTGCAGCCATTTGTGGAGTGAACCAATAGATGGAACCTCTCTCTTTCTCTCTCTTTATCTGTCTTTAAAAAAAACACATACAACATATTTTCCTGGAGTTGTTAAAGGCCTTGGAGAGTAAATAATTCCTAAGCTGATGACCTTCAAGTTATATTTGGGATTTCAGGACAGTGCCTGTGACTCCCTCACTTGGTTCCTGGAGACCTTAGTGAGGCCTCGGGATAACTTCAGGACAATTTACTTAGCGCAGCTTATGAAACCTTGCTTATCACCCCCCCCCCCGCCATTAGAAGAAAGCCTTGATTTACCCACCTGACTCTGCATAAGCTTCAGATAAGTTTTGGATGCCATATCCCTAACAGGATGGAATGCTCTGAAACAACTTGGAAGTTATTGAATCTGCTTTCCAACACTCTGGGAACTCTCAAAGGTCTCCCTGGGATAGTAGGCTTATCAGGTCCCATGCACTGTACATTTTTTTTCCTTTAGTCCTGCTCAAACAAAATTACACTTTTCTAGATGATAATGTGTAATACAATTGTTCAATCAGTGAAGGTATTTATTGAATACTGCGTAGTGCTGTGCTGGAGGCTTGGTCCCACCCTGAGGAAAATTCTACCATTTGTCCTCACAGGGTTTTCCTTACCAAGAATACCAAGGAATTGAGTTGCACTTCTCCTGTTGAATGCTCGCTCTGATCATTAAAGTTCTCTCCAACTTGTAATTTTCAAAAACAAAGATCCATATATACCTGTTCTAACACAATGGGATAATCTCTAATTTTATTTAAAAATTTTAAAACTAAAAATTGCATCAATAACTGTATTGTTTAATTTTATTCTATTATAGTGCTTCAGATTTACCTTTAACATTGATGTAAGTGATCTTAATTTAAATTTGAATTAGGATTTACTAAAATTGTGTTTTATTGAACTGCTAAAAAGTCATACACAGAATCTGATGAAGTGCATGTTTTTGAAGGTATATGGCTCCTGAAATGCTTGATGATACAATGAATGTGAATATCTTTGAGTCCTTCAAACGAGCTGACATCTATTCTGTTGGTCTGGTTTACTGGGAAATAGCCCGGAGGTGTTCAGTTGGAGGTAAGATTTTGGAAATATTCTTGTGTCTACTTCTGCCTTTCCACGATACTCTGAATGCAAAATGAAATTTCTTTTTTCCCCTATATTATATATTGAATCACTTCTAAATATTTAATGGAGTACCTTGTGGTGTGCTGAACTTGAAAATTATCTTTTTTGAGCTTGTGTGTAGTGACTGATATCACTACTTTATATCCCAAAGAAATTGAATTAACATACTAAGATCATAGGACTTGAAGACTTCTATTACTTAGGCTTTCCTTGTTCTTTTCTGTGATTTGATGAATCTGTATGGGTGAGGGTTACATGCAGTTGGAGAGAAGTGAGCAAAGACAAACTTTCTATCTCTTTCTCCTGGATGTTTAGAAACTAACAATGAGAGGAATAAAATAGGAGGATGATACTCTCTAAATTTAGACTGATGAAATTTGCAGAAATTGTTAGAGAAAGAGTTAAATGCTGGTAGAAAATGGTTTAAAATTTTGATTTTCAAGCTTTCAACTAAGGCTTGGTTTAGCAGCTCATTAAATGTCAAACAGTAGGCAAGTTATTTAGTCTGATTTTCTTCATTTGTAAAATGAAAACAATAATAAACCTATTTGTATGAGCATTTGGCCTAGTAAGATAATGTTTAAGATGCCCACTGCTCACATCCCATACCGTAATACCTAACTCTAGCTCCTTGATTTCATCTTCCTGTTAATGCAGATTCTGTGAGTCATGGGTGATAGTTCCAGTGATTGGGTTCCTGCCACCCATGTGGGAGACCTGAGAATTCAGTACAGGGCCTCAAACCTGGGCCCATCAGTTGAGAGCATTTTGGGAGTGAACCAGTGGATGGAAGTTCTCTATCTCTTTGTTTCTCCATCACTGATCTCTTGGTCTCTCTCTCGCTCATAAACATTAAAAAGAAATAAAAGTTGATAGAAAATTTGCATTAAAATGACCCCTTGAGTTTTTGAGGATTTAATGGATTAATTTGTGTGAAACTCTTGATATAGAGGCTGCTCAAAGTAAACATTCAGTAAAAGCTGTTAAACCACTGTTCGTTTTTACATTTTGTAAAAAGTATTGATGTTATTTTGTATTACACCAATGTTGTTCTTTTCTGTTTAGAGCTATTTTTCTGTTTTATTTAATTTTTAGTCTATGTTTTATAATTTTTATTAATATTAACTCATTAAATGCCATTAATTCCCATGATATATTTTCTCTGCTTCATAGATGAAGAAATTAGGCTGTTGATCTCATTTAAAAAAAAATGCTTGCAGATTACCGGAAAACTTGTAAGGTCAAATTTATATTAGAATGAGAAACATACTTTTTCTCTGTTATACAGAGATGGGATAGTACAGCAGAGATCTAAAGCTATCAGAAGAGCAATAGAATTACAGTTGTGTACACCATGGACAACTGGAATTCCTGAGATTGGGTTTGAATTCCAAAACTGCCACTTAGTAGCTGTGGGTTTCTGAGAAAATTCACCATACTCTTGTGTCTTCTCATTTTCCTCAGCAGCAAAATAAGGATATGTTACCTTCTTTAGTCAGCGGTTTTAGATAGTAAATTAAAAATGTGTTGTGGTGGTCCAGTGGGTTAAGATACCACCTGCTAAGCTGGCATCCCAAATGAGTACTAGCAGCTCCACTTCCAATCCAGCTCCTTGCTAATGCACCTGGGAATTAAGTGGAAGATTCTCCAACTGCTTGGGCCCAGCATCCATGTGGGAGACCCAGATGGAGTTTCAGGCTCCTGATTTTGGCCTGGCCCATCCACGGCCATTGTAGTCTTTGGGGAGTGAACCAACAGATGGAAGTGCCCTCAGTGTCTGTCTCTCTCTCTCTCTCTTTCTCTCTCTCTCCTTCCATTTATTCCTCTTTATATTTATAACTCTGACTTTGAAAAGAGTAAAATAAATCTTTTATGTTTGTGAAATAAGCCAGACCCCAAAAGACAAATATGTCATGGTTTCTCTGATTTTTGGTATTTAATATATAGAGGTCCCCCCCCCACAAAAAAAAAGGAACCCAACAACAAAGAATGTATAAGAGTAACATGATTTGGTCATGATACTATGTTTAGTGGAGTATTAAGCCTATGAAAATAAATCAAAAGTATATCACCACAAAAATTAAAAGAAATAAAAAAGTAAGGAAGGAAGAGGGAGGGAGGGAAGTATCCTTATGTTCTTAGAATTGTATCTTTGAAATACATGAGATATGTTCCCTTTATATTAAGAAAAATGTAAAGAACAGGTCATCAAAGAAGGAGGTACCTTTCTCTGAAGGGAGGAGAGAACCTCCACTTTGACTATGACCTTGTCTAAACAAGATAAGAGTCGGAGAACTCAGAGGGCTTCCATAGCCTTGGAAACTCATGACTGGAGCCTAGGGTGATTACTGATGCCATAGACAGGAGTGTCAATTGGTAAAGTCAACAACAGGAGTCACTGTGCACTTACTCCTCATGTAGGATCTCTGTCCTTAATGTGCTGTACATTGAGATTTAATGCTATAACGAGTACTCAAACAATATATTTCACTTTGTGTTTCTATGGGGGTGCAAACTGTTGAAATCCTTACTTAATGCATACTAAACTGATCCTCTGTAAAAAAAAAAAAAAGAAAAAAAGAAATTATCAATTCCCAACTTGACTCTCACTGGGATTAAACATGACAATAGGTCTGCTCTGATTTGATCATCATTTAAAAAAATCATCTATTATTTTTCACTTTATGTTTCTGTGTGGGAGCAAACTGTTGAAATCCATACTTAATGTATACTAAGCTGATCTTCTGTATATTAAGATAATCGAAAATGAATCTTGATGTGAATGGAAGGGGAGAGGGAGTGGGAAAGGGGAGGGTTGTGGGTGGGAGGGACGGTATGGGGGGGAAAGCCATTGTAATCCATAAGTCGTACTTTGGAAATTTATATGCATTAAATAAAAGTTTAAAAAAAAAAAAAAAGAAAAATGTTAGAAAAAACATGGAAAGAGTCTAGGACAATGCTTGTTAAATATGAAGATTTTAAATATTTTTGTGAAATTTTTATATTTCTGTTTATCTATGTTTGCTTTTACGGTTTGGTCCCTTAATTTTTCTTATATTCTTAAAATTGTATCTACAAAATATGTTGAATCTGTTAAAAACTAATTAAAAATTAAAAATAAGAATAATAATTTAATTAGCATGATTTATCATTAAATTTGTAATATTATGACAGGTGTCATGTAGTGATTTTTTTCAGTGATTGGCCACATTTATGACTGTAGTTCCTTAAGACTCTCTTGTCCAGTGACATTGCAACCATCTTACTTTGTGTGAGCACACTTTATAATGTTCACACAATGATTAAATTGCCTAACAACAGAATTCCCAGTATGTATCCCAGTGATTAGGTGATGCATTACCATGTTTTCAAATAAAAGAACTATGTTTAATCCAAAAGATTGTATAAGGGATTTTTTAGAATTCAAGTTAGAGTCTGATAATTAGGGTCATCTTTGTGACTATTTGTGGTGAACTGCCATCTTTTTTTCTACCTTTATCCACTCTTCCTGAAAATATTGAAACATTAGAAGTTAGGGATTACTTTATTGTTATTGTTATTATTATTATTATAGTTCTATGTACCTCATAAATACAACATTAAGGACAGAGTAATTCTTCCCTCCCCACTTGCCCTCCCACACAGCCCCCCCTCTCCTATTTGATATGAGAAAGAAATAGAAACAGAAAGAAAGAAAAAAAGAATGGAATAAAAAAACTAAGAGAACTGTTTCTCAACAGTCTAAACAAGGGCTGTTCGTTGTTGTTGCTTCTCGAAGGTGATTTCAATTTTTTTTCCACTTCCTCTTTTCCCTTCCTACCTTCCCCTTCTTTAAAGAAGAACCCAAGGATGATTCATCTTTTGTGAGCTCTTAGACATAACTATAAATTATGACACATAATAATATCCTCCATTTAATACACTAAAATTAAGTGATTCTTGACAAGTTTTACTATTAAGTTTCATGATACAACTCTTTGTGGACAGAGGTCCTGCATGGGAAATTAGTGCACAGTGACTCCTGTTGTTTATTTAACAAATAGCACTTTTATGTATGACATCAATGATCACCAAAGGCTCTGACATGAGCTGCCTCAGCTATGAAAGCCTTTTAGATCCACTAGTTCAACAAGACCATAATCAAAGTGGAAATTCTCTCCTCCCTTCGGAGAAAAATACTTCCTTTTTTGGTGGCCACTTCTTTTCACTGGGGTCTCACACACAGGGGTCCTTTATGTAGGACATTTTTTTCCAGAGTTTCTTGGCTTTCCATGCTGAAATGCTCCCCCTGGACTTTCCAGACCAGAATGCCTTAAGGGTTGATTCTGAGGTCTGAGTGCTACTTAGAGTGATTTTCATTCTATAGGTCTGCTGTTTGGACTGCTTCCCATGTTGGAGCCTTCAGTCATTTTAATCCTATTATTGTTTCCAAACACTTAGTCCTATGTATATGATAACTTTTGATCATATCTGTATGGCCACTTTAACCCTTAGTCCTATCCATTTGATCTTTATCACACTTAAGCTGCTATTTTTATCAGCCTGCTTAAGGGATTTTGGGGTCTTATGGCTAGTTCTTAAGTTGTACCCTTAGAAGTGAGTCCATATGAATGTATGGACTTTGCAGTTGCAAACATACTTTGCAGTTGCAAACTTCATACATTTCACAATTACAACTTTATGATCTTGGTGATTCTTCCCACTCTGCCCTCCCTCCCACCCTCACTCCCACCCCCTTCCTCTTCCCTTTCTTATTTTCATTCTTATTCTTTACTAAGATCTGTTTTCAATTAATTTGTACATATATGATTAACTCTATGTTAAGTATAGCATTCAATGAATTGTATGAAAGAGAAAAAGATAAGGACAATACTATAAAGAAAGGAAAATTTAAACAAATATATAGAATAAGAAGCTATTCCTCAACAGTCTAGAGAATGGCTTTTAATAATCATTGTTCCTCAAAGTGTCAATTTCATTTCTACATGTTGTCTTTTAGGTACTCAATCAGAGAGAACATATAGAATTTGTCCCTTTGGAACTGGCTTATTTCACTAAGTATGATATTTTCCAGTTTCATCCATTTTTTTTTTTTTTTGCAAATGACTGGACCTTGGTTTTTCTACTGCTGCGTATTATTATTATTATTATTTTTTTGACAGGCAAGTGGACAGTGAGAGAGAGAGACAGAGAGAAAGGTCTTCCTTTTTCCATTGGTTCACCCTCCAATGGCCTCCGCGGCCGGCATGCTGCGGCCGGCACACTGCGCTGATCCGAAGGCAGGAGCCAGGTGCTTTTCCTGGTCTCCCATGGGGTGCAGGGCCCAAGCGCCTGGGCCATCCTCCACTGCACTCCCTGGCCACAGCAGAGAGCTGGCCTGGAAGAGGGGCAACCGGGATAGAATCCGGTGCCCCGACCAGGACTAGAACCCGGTGTGCTGGCGCCGCAAGGTGGAGGATTAGCCTAGTGAGCCATGGCGCCGGCCTACTGCTGTGTATTATTCCATGGTTTTCATATCCCATAATTTCTTCATGCAGTCTGCAGTTCACAAGCATTTGGGTTCATTCCATGTCTTTGCTATTATTAATTGAGCTGCAATGAACATGGAGGTACAGATAGCTCTTTTATATGCTGATTTCATTTCTCTTGGGTAGATTCCCATGAATGGGATGGCTGGGTCAAATGGTTGTCTATATTCAGACTTCTGAGGTATTGCCACACTATCTTTGATAGTGGCTGTAGCAGTTTACATTCCCAACAACAGTGGATTTGGGTACCTTTTTCCCTACATCTTGACCAGCATTTGTTGTTTGTTGATTTCTGGATGAAAGGCATTCTAACATGGGAGAGGTAAAACCTCTTTGTGGTTTTGATCTGCATTTCTCTGACGGCTAGCAATCCTGAGCATTTTTTCATGTCTCTCTGCCCATTTGGATATCCTCTTTTGAAAAATGTCTGTTTAAGTCCTTTGTAGGTATTACTTTTGAATTTGATAACAGCATTTTATATAAAGTATGTCATTTTCATAGTTGAAATATAAATTCTATTTTATATATAAATTATATAAATTTGTTTATATATGATATATAATATAATTGTATAAAATGTCTATAATTATGAATAATTTCATAATGCAAAATGTAAATTTATATAATAGCAAATCTGAGTCTTTTAAATTTATGTCCATGGTTTTATAGTGATATATTATTTTAAGAAATTTGACTTTCCAGTTTCTCAAGTGTCTCTTGTGTGAGAAGACATAATTGGCATTATTTTGATTTAGACATCTTTGTTATTAACACAGGGAAATTCATTACATAAATTTCTTACAGGAATTGTGGAGGAGTACCAGTTGCCTTATTATGATATGGTGCCTTCAGATCCCTCAATAGAGGAAATGAGGAAGGTTGTTTGTGACCAGAATCTCCGACCAAGTATCCCAAACCAGTGGCAAAGCTGTGAAGTAAGGCTGTGTTCTTATGTTTATTTTTCCTGTTGTATCGATAGAGGTGAATGTCAGGGAAGATTTTTCGAGACCTTATGGTTCTTCTTCCTTAATCTAGGCATCCGATTTACTGCCTGTATGTAGGTAAGGTCTTTTTGTATGTCTTCAGGAAGATTTTTTTGCCTTTAGCAATGTGTATATGTAATGCCAGGTTACATTATAGTAACACCTCCTGCTTGCTTGATGACTTTCTACAACAAGCCTTTACCGCTTACACAAAGTCCTCTTCTGGTTGGCATCTCTTCTTGCGGAGGTGACACAGCAAACTGAATGTCTTTGATCTTTAGAAGCTGCCATCACAATGCAGTTTCTGGGTCTTTAGAATGGGAAAGACTGGGGATGGAGGATCACACACTAGCTGTTTAATGCTTTGGCACCAGGTGACTCTTACCTTTTCCACTGATAAGGAGCTAGTCACATGGTCCTACCTGACAGCAAAAGGACTGGAATTTGTGGGCAATGTAGACAAATTCAGTGGGTAGTCAATGTCTGGGCCACACAGGATGTTACAATTCCTGTTATCCTTTTATTAAATGATCATTCCTAATCTCTAGCCTGCTGGAGTTTGGACTTATTCTCTCTTATCAGAGGAGCCTTTGCACAGCAGAGCCCACTGTTGCTTACTTTGTCACACCCACTAATCCAGTGCAGGATCCATAACACCGTGGACACACAATAAATGGATTTTTTGGTACTTGTTCTACCTTATATGAAGATGGAGAATTTTCCAGCTGCCACAAGGACAAAGAAAGGGAGGTGAGGGAAAGACTATAAACCACCTAACTAGTTCCAGGACTATTTTAATGCTTCAACACCCTCATTCCAGCTATAGCTGTTCATTCTCTACATACTTAAATCTAAGAAATGAGGTTGTTCTTAGGTCACATAATTCAGTTTTTCTCTGTTATAGGAATTATTTTGTAAAGTTGTCTTTTTACCTCTTTTCTTCTCCTTCATGCTTCTCAACTATTTTGCTATTTAAGACAAGATTTGTGTCTTAGTATTTCTATATGTTGTGGGGCTTTCTTACCACATACCTATGTGAGAAGCAAATGTTGAGGCATTTGTAACCTAATGGAAGTTAAATTAAAATTTTCTGACATTAATAAGTCAGATACATGGAAAAAGTCTGTAAAATCTATGAATCTACTACTCAATTTGAAAAATAAAACATTTCCAATACATTTAAAATATTCATCACCCCTTTGAGAGGTCACTAGTATAATGAATTATTTTTAGTTTGTCTTGATTTTCTTTAGTATTTTGCTACACATACATACATACATACATACACACACACACATGAACATAAGAAATAGATCATCAAAATTTCAAGGGAAATGTGTATTGTGAAAAAAACTATGCATTATTTCTAAATACTTTGCATGAACAAAATTTTACCCTTTACTTTTAGTTTCTATGAACTTTTTAAAGTAAGTTTGTAGCTTTTAATCTGTCCATTGTCATGCTGTGTAGCATTACATTGTGTGAACATAGCACAATTTCTTTTTGCACTCTACTATTGTGATTTTCAGGTAGCTTTCTTTAAAAATAATATTGCTACATAAATATAATGTGTGCACAAGTTTTTGAGGGTATATACCTATAGCTTCTTGAGATGTCAACATGGAAAAATCATGTCTACAATTAATGTGAGTTATGGTACGAGGCTTCATGCATTTTTTTCTTACTACAATAAGAAAAGCTACAGTTTTTAGGGTCCCTAGTATAAGGTTGCAAAATAGTGAATCTTGGTTTAGACGTTTTGGTCTTTAATACAAGTTGTGTTTCACCATTGCATTTGTCATCTTCTTTGATGTTGGGGTGTTTTGGTAAAAGCTAAATTGAAATAAATGCTGAGTTTCAATTTAATAAAATCTTACTCCCTGTCTAGGAGGTGATGTGACATTTCTGCTTTGGTCTTTTAATGCATTAAATTGCATCTGTAAATTTTTTACTGTTAAACCAATCATACACTTCTAGCATAGACATATCATAGTCATTTTATGTTAATTTCTACATTGCTGGTATATGCATTTTTTGTCGTCTAGAAATCTAGTTCCATCTTGTTTTATATTAATCTTTTGTAATAGGTATTTGTATTTATACCATTCTTGTTTATTCACTATTATTGCTTTGCTCAATATTACTTCTTGTCTCTCAAAAGTAATGTTGCTTCCTTCTGAAATAATTTTCTGCTTTCCTAATGTCCATTCTTTAAAAGTATTTTATTTAAGCTTTTTTTAGTTATAGCCAAGTGGTTTTAAATTCTTTCAATTTGGGAAAATGTCTTTTTTCTGTCTTTGATCTTGAATAAATAGTTTATCTTGGCATAAAAATTTAGCTTGACAATGATTTTTTACACATCTTAAAGTAATTATTCCATTGTCATATAACTTCCATTATCACTGTTGGAACATCATTAAGTAAGCAAATCTTTATTTCCTTTCAGTTAATTTTTCTTTTTTTTTTCTGACTGTTTTTAAAATGTTCTCTGTGAAGCTGGCATTGTGGCGTAGCAGGTTAAGCAGCCACCTGCAGTGCCAGCATCCCATATAGGTGCTGGTTCGAATTCTGGCTCTTCCACTTCTGATCCAGCTCCCTGCTAATCCACTTGGAAAAGAAGAGGAGGATGCCCCAAATCTTTGGGCCCTTGCGCTCACGTGGGAGACTTGGAAGAAGCTCCTGGCCTCTGGCTTTTTTCTGGTCTAGCCCTGGTCATTGCAGCCATATTGGGAGTGAACCAGTGGATGGAGTAACTCTCTCTGTCTCTACCTCTCTTTAACTCTGCCTCTTAAATAAATAAAATGAATCTTTTTAAAAAATAACTTATTCTCAAATACATTCTCTGTGACTTTATAATATTCTGCATTTTCTCTGTGATGTATGTTGTATAGATGTCTCCTGTTGAATCTTGCTTGGAATTTTTGGACTTCTTAATTCTAAGGATTTATGATTTTCCTTGGTTTTGGAACATCCTCTGACATAATCTTTTCAAAAAGATCTTCCTATGATTGACTCTATTACCCATTTTTGGGGAGAGCTCACTGGATGTGTTTTAGGACTTTCACTCAACTTGCTTAAATATTACTTGGTCACATTTTCCATATTTATATCTTTATACTGTTTCTCTTTCTTTGTAGGGCACTTTCATTCTTGAAATCAGGGCTTTGAAAGTATCTTGATCTGATACCCTCTGTGTGCTTTAGGTTGAGTCTCCTGTCTGTCAGTTTGAGCTATCAGTTTTGAAGTTCCAGACCATGAAATCAGCAGATGCCACCAGAACAGCCACTGCTTAGAGATTTCCCGCATCTCTGTGGTTTCATGTATTTTCATTGGTTTATTCTCTGAGTATCACATTTATTTGACAATTCATTTGGGCTGATTTTAATAGAATTTTTGTATTTATCCTTGGATCATTTTTATTGTACTGCAATTTATATGTGATAAAACATACAAACTTTAGTATACAGTTTGATGAACTATGTGTAAATATCTGTGTGTGTGTGTGTGTGTGTGTGTGATCGGCACCCAGATGAAGATACAGGAAATTTCTATTCCTTTCAAAAATGTCCTTTTGTGTCTTTTTTATACCTTCTTAGATGATTTTCTTTTTTTGCCAGGCAGAGTTAGACAGTGAGAGAGAGACAGACGGAGAGAGAGTTATAGACAGTGAGAGAGAGACAGAGAGAAAGGTCTTCCTTCTGTTGGTTCATACCCCTAATGGCCGCTATGGCCAGCACTGTGCTGATCCGAAGCCAGGAGCTGAGTGCTTCCTCCTGGTCTCCCATGTGGGTGCAGGGACCCAAAAACTTGGGCCATCCTCCACTGCCTTCCCGGGCCACAGCAGAGAGCTGGACTGGAAGAGGAGCAACTGGGACTAGTACCTGACACCCCAACTGGGACTAGAACCCTGGGTGCCAGCACTGCAGGCGGAGGATTAGCCAAGTGAGCCACAGCGCCGGCCCCTTCTTAGATGACTTTTATAAAGCCATTCTACCATAATACCAGAAATCAGTAGATTGAAATTTCAGTTAAGTTAATCTACACGGTTAATAATCATACTTTCAGAGCTTTCTATGATGTTTTCACTTACAATTTCTTTATCAAAGCTTAGTGTCAGTTAATGAATGTGTAGTTTTTGTTCTTCCATACTTTGTTTTCTGTGATTAGCTAAAGTCTCTAATGTTTCTCTTTCTCTTGAAGGCACTCCGAGTCATGGGGAGAATAATGCGTGAGTGCTGGTATGCCAATGGGGCAGCCCGCCTGACTGCCCTCCGTATTAAGAAGACCATCTCTCAACTTTGTGTCAAAGAAGACTGCAAAGCCTAATGTGATAATTTCGTTAAAAAATATCTCTCACAGCTTTCCTTTTCATTTTCCCTCCTTATGTGAATTTGTTTTTTTTTTTTTTTTGTTCTACCTCAAAGATTACACAGTACAGTATTTAAGTGCCCAAAGGCATGAAAAGATAACTAAAGTTAAGCCTGGATAGGAGCTGACTTCATCCAATCTCCATGTTGTCTTTAATTTTATTTTGAAAAGCAGCACATCAACTTATCTTTTTATTTAATGAGAAAGAAGATATTACAAAAGTGTAAAATAAGCTATATAACAATAATAAAACTCTTTTAAATTTAATTTTACTTGAACCAAGAGCACATGAATGAATAGAAAAAAATGTCAAAAATTTAAAAGCTGTTTTTCTGAGGTGAAAATATATTTACTAAAATGTGAACTAGAGTATGTTATGGTTAAATAGGACTTTAGATCTTGCAGTCTATGATTTTTCCTTTTTAAATTATTAAAAAATAACTGCTATTGTGAAATTTAATATATAAAATCTACAGAAATGGAGCTGCTCAGTGGAAGATATAAGTGAGATGAAAGTCCCACTTGCTTGGTCTTCCTCTCTTTGTTTCTCTAATCTTTGTAATCCAGTGGCAGGTAATTTGAAATCAAGCACAGGTGCTACTTTCTGTTATTTGCAGAAGACACAAGTGGTATCTTGAGATACCGCAAAATGTCCGTTCTGCAAAATGTCCGAGTCACAGCTAATGACAGAGCTGACACTAATTCTAAATCTTGAGTGAGTCAACACTGCAGATTAGCTAGCTTCCTATTTTCCTTTGAATTCCCGAGAGTGCTTTTATCACAAGAATATCTCTTATTGTGATGTTTGTAGTTTATTCATAAAGAAGGTATGTTGAGTTATTTTGCAGAATCATGATAGATCTACATGAAATCCAAACAATGGATATTTATATGGATATAGATATTTGAAAGTGTTCAGATATCCATTCTCTTAACATGTCTTTAACATGCAATTCAGAAACCCCATATCACTTTTGGAATACATATTTAGAAAAAAAAGGGCAACAAGGAAATATTTTGAGGAAATGTGAGAAACTCTTTAATGAAGTGTAATAACCAAACCCTGCAGAGTGTCAGCAACAGAAAATAGATGTTCCCCTGCCTTTTCAAAATGAGCAGAAGGGTTCAGAAGAATGCTCACAACAGCATTGACTGCATTCTACTTTCTGTGTTGATAGAGTGATGAGAATCTATCGGGACAGTAAAATATTCCCTTCGAGCCTATAACATTGCTTTGGGGAAGGCAATGCAACATGGTGTCTTATTTTAAAACACCGTTTCCTGAACTCTGTTCCTTAGGACGTTCTGCTGAGATGAAAGTGTTCTTTGATAGCTTTGTAGAAAGACATTGTGCACATTAGCATATCAGCTACTTTGAGGTGTCTAGCAGAAAAGAAATGTTACTTGAATGTTTTTAAAATTAGATTTCTCAAGATCATAATGGAAGAGAGGGGAAACCTCTTGTCATCCCACTTTTAAGTGTTCTACAAAGCACAACTTGGGCAGCAGTGTTCTGAAGGGTGTACCTATATACTTTCACACAGAACACGAGTTAGTGATTGTATTTCATTTCATTATGGAAATATGTTGCTGAATCCATCCTCATTTGACTAAGTCGAGATAAGGCAGACAAAATACTGACAGCTATGAGGTTTGCATGTACTTTCATTCCCATTTGGGCATTTATTCATCTATTAAATAATCACAGAGCACCCCGTATCTTGCTTGCCACAATATTGGGCACAAGAGGGAATAAAAAGATAGATAGGTCCTGGGCTCAGGGATTTTAAAGTATAATTTGAGAGATGGAAAAGGCATGTAAGTGTGTGGGGGAAGAAAGTAAATTGACAGATAAAATACAAAGTGGGATGTTCTCTATGACAGTGGGTTTCTAGAATAGGTCTGAAAATCACTTTAAATTTGCAACACATTTAGAAAGTATCTTTATTTGGATAATACAGTTTAAATATATCATCAGGTTTAAAAAGTGCCTATGTAAAGAGATTTTAAAAAGACCTTATGTGAAACGGTTATTGTTTGTGCTCACTACCTTGATTTCTCATAGATTGTTTTTATATATATCAGAATGGAATTATTTATTTACTATGGTTATACTTTAGTCTCAGATAAACCAGAATGATATTTCCTGTTTTATTCACTTATGTTGGGTGGATATATTTATTGAATATTTAAAGACAGCATGTTTAACATTTCCATTTTCATTATATTTTATAATTTATTTGAGGATATCTAAATATAATTCCATATTTTATTGGTTTTACTTTTACTCTAGAGCAAGCTGTACATTTGTACATTTTAAGATAGTTTGCTGTTGTTGTGTTAGTTAACTGTAACTCCTAACTTAAAGTCTAAAATTTCAATCACAAAATACATTTTTAAGAAAGGTGGTACAACAACAAAAATGACAAGTAAAACACTAAATGTTGTAAATTTCCTTAATTCTCAATATGATTATTCATAGAAAATGCTCACTGACAATCACAGAATAAAGTTAGAGCATAAGGAGATATACTGTATATACCTGTGCTGTTAAATTTGATATTCTTTGTTTTTTAATGAACTGTCATTGTATAATATTCACTTCTTTTAAATTTTATTATGGGGAAGAAATATTCTTCTAAGGTTAGGCTTAAAGTATGGTGTCCTTCTGCTCCTTTCAGATACTTTGACTTTTGGGTATGACACCAGGCTTGGGGAAAATGCCATTATGAAATTCCAATACTGTATAAGATGTTGATGGAATTTATATGCAACATTTCTTCCTGAAAATAAGAGGAGATATTATTTGTTGTCAATATTTCAGCATGAACTACTTGCCTTATAAGTTATGCATTTAAGTTTGTAATTGGTACAGATTGTGTTGTATGCTTTCTTCTATGTCTAAGATATTTGGCATGTCACATCTAGAATTCTTAATTTATGTTCTGATTTGAGAGTTAAGTGAAACATGACTGTCGTGCACTATTTTAGGCATAGCACTTGCTTTTCATCTTTGTACTTTCAATTAACTTTGCATTTTAAATTTCCATGATTGTATGAAAATAGTAACCTGGTTGCAATGTCTGAAGAACTCAGAATCAGCTTTTATTTAAAAATGAAAATCTACAATAGATTCATTAGATTAGAAATTCCATGTTAATTTATTTTTAATACTTCTACTATTGTAGGATTATTAAACAAAACAAAAATACTTCCACTATCTTGGAATTTTTGTCTGTGACTTACAGGGGCAAAGAAAACTCAGGGCTATCTCCTAGTCTACACAAAAGTAGCAGAGCACCTCCCCAGCAAATCACCTGAAAGCAGAGAGCTGACAGACTTTGAGTGAACAAGTTCAAATTGCTCGGCAGGGAATAATTTTTGACTGATTATTTAAAATAAATGTGAAAAACTTGAGGGTCAAATAAGTTTACTTAAAGTGAGAAGATTTTATTTCCCATCAGGAAATTTAGGAAATAACAGTCACAAAGGAATGTAAGTTGGCAGTTGGTATCTTCAATTATTATTCCTTTAAATGAATTCACAAATGCAACATGATAAGCTACTTAGATATATTTAGGATTAGTCTTAAAATGGTGTCATTGTAGCCTTTGAATATATTCCAAATGTGTTTTTATTTTGTGGAGCATGCCATTTATATTTGTTCTAGATCTTTAGACTAATATCCACACGGACTGCATTTGCTAAGTGAACACAAAGGTCCCTTTGATCTTGAGGGCTTTTTCTACACAGAAAAAAAGTTAGTTGGAAGGTAAAATTTTCATATAAATTTTAATAGTAAGCAGAATTTCTGTGGTATAAATAGTTTCTCCAAGTGGTTTAATTCAACTATTCAGATATTTGACTTTCTTTTTCACCTCTAGACTTTCTTTTAGTTTCATAATTTTTCTCATCTCCTTTTTTTAAAAGTATGTCCTCATCTTTCAAAACTATATATTGTTCCTAATTGTAAAAACTAGTTCAACTTAATCATTCTCATCAAAGGTTATCCCTTTAATAGTCTAAATGATTTCAGCTGTCTCATGGGCAGAAGAAACTCGATTCCGATATTATATAGATGAAGAAAACCAAGGACCAGAGATGATAATGACTAATTATTGTCAGAAATCTGGTGGTGATACCCACCTGTTCCCTACTGTATCTCCAACTGTTACTGATTGAGCAATTAATCAGCATGCATCTAACCCTTCCTTGAATGTACACTAATAAAATGTGCCATTTAATGATAATGATCAAATACCACTCCTTTTGTATTTTTACTAAAAGTATTTACTCATTCTGGCTGAGATCTGAAAAACAGGCTAAGGACGAGTTGTACAATAGTTCTAAAGCTAGGTAGGCAACCACTAGGGTGCTGATAAAATTGATGAATAACATTTAGGATGCTTGAGTGCATGGACTCTCTTAGTGCAAGTAATAATTAGAGAAGCTGTGACTCTCCCAAACACACTTCCTGTAAGGATTCTTCTCTCTTTGCTTTGGAATGGAGGTGAGGACAATTTGATAGTTAAATTTGAGACTGTTTAGTCACAAATCATCTGACAATTCTTTTTCTTCTCTTGGTTTCTCATTAGTTTATCTTCTGCATTTATTTTGTTTCCATGCATTCAAAAATATCTTTGCCAGACTTCATCATCCACAAAGCACTTGATAAAATTCCTGTTCTTCTGTAGTGTGTTCTAGTGTTGTGCAGATTGCTATGTATTGAACTTCCTATAAGAATTTAATTTTCCCATCCAAATAATCCAAGGTTTCTCCTCATGACTTCTCAAGTGACTCTTCATTTGGCACTATAAAGATGGTGGTTTCTGGGGGCTGGCGCTGTGGCTCACTTGGTTAATCCTCCGCCTGTGGCGCCGGCATCCCATATGGGCATCCGGTTCTAGTCCCGGTTGCTCCTCTTCCCAGTCCTGCTCTCTGCTGTGGCCCAAGAAGGCAGTGGAGGATGGCCCAAGTGCTTGGATCCCTGCACCCGCATGGGAGACCAGGAGGAAGCACCTGGCTCCTGGCTTTGGATCTGCGCAGCGCGCCAGCCATAATGACCATTTGGGGGGTGAACCAACAGAAAAGAAAGACCTTTCTCTCTATCTCTCTCTCTCTCACTGTCTAACTCTGCCTGTCAAAAAAAAATCTAAAAAAAAAAAAAATGGTGGTTGCTAATGGAAGGCATGACTTTCTTTTAAACTTTAGAAGGACCAGCCCTGTGGGTATATACTAGCTTTTTAGTTCACGTACAAAGATTGTTTACTTGTACCTTAATGCTAACTTTCACTTGAGAGATAGAGACTTGGAAAGAGAATGTGAAATGTGTGATTGCTTAATTTATTTTTGCAGTGTTTAATACCATTGCTTTGTTTTGCTTTTGTCGTCTTTTTAAACTAAGCCATTATGCCCTATGGTTTGGATTGTAATATTATATTGCAATTAGGTTATAATCTCTATTTAAAAATTCACTTATTTTTTTTTTATTTTTTTATTATTTTTTTTTTTTATTTTTGACAGGCAGAGTGGACAGTGAGAGAGAGAGACAGAGAGAGAAAGGTCTTCCTTTGCCGTTGGTTCACCCTCCAATGGCCGCCGCTGCAGCCGGCGCACCGCGCTGATCCGATGGCAGGAGCCAGGATCCAGGTGCTTTTCCTGGTCTCCCATGGGGTGCAGGGCCCAAGCACCTGGGCCATCCTCCACTGCACTCCCTGGCCATAGCAGAGAGCTGGCCTGGAAGAGGAGCAACCGGGACAGAATCCGGCGCCCCGACCGGGACTAGAACCCGGTGTGCCGGCGCCGCAAGGTGGAGGATTAGCCTATTGAGCCACGGCGCCGGCCCAAAAATTCACTTATTAAGAACTCCCAAGATACTTCTCTTTCATTTGTAGATGAGCTCATATTCTTCCAAATTTCATCCTATATTTTAGTGTTTTCAGATAGGACTGTAGTTTCTGATCATTGATCCATATTATCCAATAAGAAGTTTTTCTCACCTGACCTAACAATTTTAACTACAAACTTTTTCACCCTTTGCTACATGAATCTGAATAGTACAATGGTCAATAAGAATCTAAGTGCGTTAGGAAATTAACCTTATACCCACTGTCACCACGTGGGATTGGGCATATTGTGCTTCACACCAAAAAACTGCCAGCTGAGGGGTAGGTAGGGCTGAAATCCAAACTGCAATTAGCAAATATGATTTTTATATTTTGCAGAAAAGCCCCTGTGTGATATTATAACTTTAGAAAATGGCATGCTTTTACAAGTTCAAAAAATGAGAGCTAAAATTTCAAAACAGGTCTTGATATCTGCAAAGTGGAGAGACAACTTAGAAGAAAAAAAAATACTTTGGCTTGTAATTCTGGCATTACCAAGAGAACAAGAGAGATTTTATGTTTATCCTGTTGATTCATTTTAATTTGTTCAACCCAGACAATCTGCGCAAGGGCACATGGGCCCTGATTTTGCTATCTCTTCTGGGTTTTCATTCTATGTATGTACCTGTACTTCGACTTCGCTTGTAAACAGAGAATTATGTGCCCTGTATTCTGTCTTTAAAAATTGCAAGCATAGGATTATTTATCAACACATTGGTCTCTTCCACACTAAGTCATAACAACTAAGAAATTTTAAATATTCAGCACTTTTATTCTCTTTACATAAAGCGAGCGTATCTGAGCCAAAATATTAAGTTCTAGCTCATTTCAATGACTAGTGTCATGCGCATGTATTCTTCTGATCCTGGACTGGAGAAGATTATTCAAACTTGATCTGTGTTTCAGGTTTTAAAATGCCCTAAAAACAGAAAATTAGATTCAGATCTCAGAAAAGGAATTTTGGATTGACTTTCAATGTACTAATACTAATTATACTTTTCTTTTGGTATCGTGACTCTTATACCTAAGAACATATTACAAATGTCAAAACCATTGCATTTTGACATTACAAAAACATGCCTTGAACTCTTGAACTACTGTGAAAAGAATCACTGTTGTAAAGACTTTTTGTAAGCCAGCTGATAATTCTTAAGTGTGTAAGAAGATACTGTCTTTCAACAGACAGGCCCCATGGATGTATATAAAGAATATGAAGAGAAATAAGTTAGGTTTTAAAATGAGAATTAGGCAATAAATTGTATCAAAAATATGCAGATGGGGATTTTAGTATGTAGTTATAAATTAGTTGCGGAAGGTGAAAAGAATTCCAAATTCCAAAGAGAAATAAATAATGTTCAGATGTTTCATTAATTTCTAGTCTGTGAAAATATGCATTTTATAGTAATTTATATGCTTATTTAGAAATATTTGTATTTTAGAGGTTAACAAGAATTCAATAGCCTTCATACAAAATGTTTGACTTTACCAACAGCAAGTCATAAAAGCATTTAATTTAAAACTTTTTAATATTATTGCAGAACTTTCAGCTGCCTCCAGATGTAAATACTTATCTGTCTAAATGTTATATTTTTATGTATGCATTTTCTGAAAATGTATCATTTGTAAAGTGGCAAAGATAATACATTAAGCACTCCTTGCACTTGTTTCTGTGAAGTACATAGAAATCTATTTTAAATAAAAGAAACTGTGTTATATTTTGGTTTCCATATAAGTCTCCTGTTTTTAAATTGTATTTATATTTGTGTGAGGAAGCTGTTGAAAACTTAAATGTTGGCTCCAAAGGGCGCTGGAATTTTTTTTTTTTTTACTTCCTGCTTACCATGAAGTTATAGAACTTTAGAATTTCAGAGCTGGAATGGATGTTTCTTCAACAGCCATTTTTCTACATGCCACATAGAATGATAGTTTTTGTATTCTTTCATTTTCTGGTTTTCTGCACCTATTTTAACATTTAGTGAAAGATTACCAACTTGGTCTGATTTCAAGCCTAAACACCTCCCCGAACACTTAAAATAAAATTAAAAACACTTTAACGCTCACAAACCTGTTCAGGATATGGAACAGCTTTTCTGCCTTCACTTCTTTTGTCCCCTACCTCCAGCTCCAGCTGTTCTCCAGCCTCCAGCTTCTTGGTTTTCCTGAATCTGCCAGCACATGTCTGTCCCACTGGCTGTTCTTTCTGCCTGGATTTGCCTCCTCCAGATATTTATGTAGCGTAGGTCTGAGTTACAATGCCATCAGACAAAATGGTTCTTTCTTCTCACTTGTTTATAATAGCATGCTCTGTCATTCCAGTACCCACTGGGCCTGTTTTGTTTTTCCATATTTCACTTAGCATTTATCATGTTATATCATATATGTGATAGGTTGAGTATAATGACTAATCCTTGAGCACTGGAATTAGGGGTCTTTTCATTTATATTTGAAGATATAGTTATAAGTCTTTAAGAGAAATGCTTTTCACAATGAGGAATACATACAGAACTCATGACATCCCCCAGATAGCTGTAATAAACCTTGAGTCATAGGTATAAACCCAATCAAGAATATTGTAGCTTAATTCATAGTGGCAATTTCAAGATAATATTATGAGAGGATGAGGTATGTGATTTATAGTTCTAACTTTACACAATTGATGTTTTCTGGGACTTAGCATTAGAAAGGCAAAACACTGTATTGGATGTACTTTTGGTATAGGTTCTTCAGTTCTTGAGTGCCTCCGTCTTCCCCCACCCTCCTTTAAGGGACAGTTTTGTTAATAAGTGCCCTGGTTATCTTGCATAAATTTGGTGATAGCCAGGTTCACAAGCCAAACATGTTTTGATTAACAATTGTTCATTCAAGTGCTCAACTGGCTTCACCATTGGCTTCTTGGAATTGTAGACAAAAGGAAATCATTTATGTTACATCAGTGTAGGTCATGAAACCTAGGCATAAAGATGAATACTTAAATTTCAGCACATTAGCAGTAGCTTTTCTTCCGTTGATTGGGAGATCACTAAATTTAATGTGTCTTACAGAGCATTCTGGAGTTGACATTTTTTTCAAGAAATGGTTCATGAGTTTTAGAGGAAAAATATATGCACATGCATATGTATATACATATTTGCATATATACGTATATACTCCTGGCCAGGCTGAAGCCAGGAATCAAGAACTGCTTCTGGATCTCCCATGTGGGTGCAGGGACCCAAGCACTTGGACAATCTTCTGCTGCTTTCCCAGGCACATTAGCAGGGAGGTGGATCAGAAGTGGAGCAGCTGGGTCTCAAATGGTGCCCATATGGGATACCAGCATCTCAGGTGGCAGCTTTACCTGTTACTCCAAGATGCCGGCCCTGAAATATGTAATGTTACAATGAAGGAGAGTTATTAAAACTTTGACTTGGAGAGTTCCTGTAAAATTTGATTAGGAACATTTTCCTACCAGAAACTTAGTATAGTTTGTGTGCTTTGGTTTTGTTAATGCTATATCTAACAAAATTGTACTTGTAACCACACTTGTGATTTACACAGGTTATTACTCTTTTTAAGTATTAGTCAACAAATCTTTTATTTACTTTTAAAGATTTTATTTATTTATTTGAGAGGCAGAGTTACAGACAGAGAGAGGGAGAGAAAGAGAATGGTCTTCCATCTGCTAGTTTACTCTCCAAATGGCCTCAATGGCTGGGGCTGGGCTGATCCTAAGTCAGGAGCCAGAACTTCTAGTTTTCCCACATGGGTCAGAGGAAGAAGCACTTGGGCCATCTTCCACTGTTTCCTGAGTTTCCCAGGCCATAGCAGAGAGCTGGATCAGAAGAGGAGCAGGTAGGACTTGAACAGGTGCCCATATGGGATGACAATGCTGCATGTGGAAGCTTAGCCTACCAAGTCACAGCACCGGCCCAGTCAACAAATCTTGATCAAACATCATTGCCTAAGTGAATAGTATTATAATGCTCATTGTAAGTAGTATTAAAATAGTAAGCTCCTGGGAACTGTGGTGTAGAGGGCTGGGCCCTGCCTGCAGTGCCAGCATCCCATATGGGTGCTGGTTAGGGTCCCAGTTGCTCCACTTCTGATCCAGCTCCCTGTTGATGCACCTAGGAAAGCAATGCAAGGTGTCCCTGGAGCTTGGGCATCTGTACCCATGTGAGAGACCAGGAAGAAGCTGCTAGCTCTTGGCTCCTGGCTTTGGCCTGGCCCAGTCTCAGCTGTTGTGGCCATTTGGATTTGGGGGGTGAACCCACGGATGGATGATTCGCTCTCTGTCTCTCTCTGTCTCTCTCTCTCTCCTTTTCTGTCTGCCTTTCAAATAAATAAATCTTAAAAAACAAAACCAAACAGTAAGATCCTTCAATCAGGAAGAAAACAGGAAAACAAGGCATATACATGAAAAGCTATCTAGCTTTAGAAGGTAATATAGGAAATGTCATAATGTAGAAAATTAAGACCTAGTGTTCATCTAAATACTAAATGCTAATGAAGATATAGAAATTAAGTATCAATTATGTAGGAAGTATCAAGAAAATTGATGAGTTGAGCCCTGTAGGATGGGATTGATTTTTATAAATATAACACAAGGAAAAGTTGCCTGATAGGAAAAAATAGTGTCCAAAACAAAGGCAGGTGTGCTCATAGCAGCGAATAAACCACAGAAGTAGCATGGAGGATTTGTGTAAGGGTCAGATCACAGCATTTAACTTCGCTCATCCCACTGAGTGAGACTCTGAAGATTTCAAAGCGGTAGTCATCATGTGAAGCTGGTATTTAATAAAGGCAGTGAAAGAATTACCTTCTTAAGAGTTTCATCAAAGTAACCCAGAGGTTCAACTGCACCATACCCTGTCTCCCCTAATTGGAAATTAGTTAGAGATGGTACACAGGTGAGGAATGTTAAGATGAGCTTTGCAATTGCTGTGATCTAAGCGGCTTTATATGGTGCTCCCTCCACACTTTAATGTGTGAAAAGCAAAGCAAAATATTGTCACAAAGAAGAGAAAAAATGAAAAAGATTCATCTTTAACAGTTTAGTTTTATTAGAAATATGACCCAGGAAATGAAAAAAACAACACACACACACACATACTTAGAGAAACAATCATTTGAAAAGCTCTACCTCGTAATTCCATCTCCACATGAATACATTTCCAGGTGCCACTGAACTGTGTGCATTAAATTTCAAATATAATCAAATCGGGTTTTGAAATACTAATGGCGATTTCATAGAAGAACCCTTGCTTCAGCAACTTAGGAAATTACACTTGATTTTCTTTTGAGTGTTACTCAATTGTGCTTGAAATTGTTCATTTGAACCCTTCTAAACAAGAAGCAGGTGGTTAAATGTGGGCGCTGTTTAACATTTACACAAAACATTCCAAGCACAATGTACTTTTGCCCCTTGAATGCCAACTGGTTTTCTCCCATCTCTCATACTCTGTTCTTCCCTGGCTATCTGATTTGACCTTGCTAAACCCCTGAAAGGAGAATTGGCTCAAATGTAGTTAACTGCTGGTGAGCATTAGACTATTTTTATAGTCTTCCTGTTAAAGCTTTTAATGTGGCAACTGCTGGTTATTGAAGCAGCTTAAGAAAAAGAATTGCTGAGTTTGCCTTTTCTTTCTAAATGGAGAAACACAAGGTGACACAATCGTATAAAATTTAATTGAACTGGAACAAGGGGAAACAGCCTAGATATTCTGCACAGAGCAAGAGCAAGACTTTGCAAAAAACACATTTCAGTTCTATATTGCAATCTGGATCTTGGCTTTTATAAATGAGTGAACTAGTTCATAAAAGGCAGTTTTTTTTCCTTGTCAGCTTTTCCTTTACCAGAAATGGGCAAGGTCATAAGCATCTTACTGAGAATCCAGTCACAGGGAGATATATGTTAAATTCTGCCATTTCTTGGCCCATTCACTCCACTAACTGCAAACAGAGCTTTTGCTCTCATTCTCTAAAATTTCCTTCTGTGTGCTCATAGTGAGTTTGTAGCAGCCTGGTACAGAAAATAATCACCTGATCCCTCTAGGACCATCATATGAGAATGTCTTATCCCAGAATTGTTTTCTTTTGCTTTTGAAATGCCACCTTTTCCTAACTCTTTCCTTCCATTTTTCCTTTCCCTTTCGCTGGGTACTACACATGTTTTCCTTTCTCTGTGTCCCCCACATACTAATATTTACCTAGGATTCTTGTTTCTTTGTCCAAAAACACTCATTCTTGGTGATCTCATCTACTTTTTCTCTTTAGCAAGGATGTTCCAAATCTATATATTTGTTCCAAACTTCTCTTCTAAGAAGCAAATCTAGCTGTTTCCTGATGTATCCACTTGGATATGACACAGTCACTTCAGACTCGAATGTTTAACTGTACTTTGATGGGTCTGGCTTCTTTTGCTTAGCATCCTGCTTTTGAGTGTCAGATGGTTAGTGGCTTGTTCTTTCGTATTACTGGGTACAATTCTATTAACATACCACAACTTGTTTATCTGTTCATTTGTTGAGTATTTTAGTTGCTTCCAGTTTGAGGCTATTGTGAATAAATTAATTATGAATATTTTTCTGTAAGTCTTTATGAGTACATATTTTAATTTCTTTGGATCAATACCTGGGTGTGTAATTGGGTAAACACATAGGAGTGTAAACAGAAAGAACTGTCCAATGTGTTTCTACATTTTTATACGCTATCAAATTATGAGAGTAATAGTAGC